CTGCCTTTCTAAGTTGCATAAGACTTAACTTGCTGTTGCTGAGTTCTGTCAACTTGGGTGCAACTTTCCATTTCCCTGAAGAAATCACACTTGGCTCATCTGATAACTGTCAGCCTACTCTTTCTGTACTCTGTGCAGAGGTTTGTTTTCTGGTTTTTTAATCACACAGATGCTTTCCAGTGATCATGCCATAAATTAAGCAAGGATTTGTGGGTTTCCCAGACGGAGTGTTCATTTATTTGCAACGTTGGCCATAATTTTATCATTTTTCTAAGTGCAATATACAAGAAGTGTGTTCTCTCGTATCTTGAAATTAGTTCCTGTGGGGTGGGAGACCACTTTCTACTGATTAAGTGCTCTGTCCTTTTGAAATAAAAATTTCTGCTGAATACATAAAACAGCCAAGCACATTTAAGTGTGCTGCTCCCATTATAATTAATTACATAATTAAATATAATGAGAGTTGAACATGGAAATCTCCCGAAAACAACTCAATAAGGCTAATCCTTAAATCTATTACTTTATTAAATGGACAATTATTTTGCAAGGGAAACAAATGTCTTTGTTGAAATAGCAGATATGCTTACAAGTGGAGTCAGCAGGAGCAGACTGCATAAATAAGCAATTACAATGTTTTTATCCCATGAAAACAAGAGCCCACAAATTACTTCACCTTTCCCCCCTCTGTTCCTCAGGCAATAATATTTTTTTCCTCGTAATTGCTTAACAAAATGTATTCCTGTTCCATACAATTAGAGCAGTAAGAGAATACAAAGTGGATTATTTGCTGATTGCTGAGGTTTAAAAGTCAAATCAGTGCTCTGCCTGAAAGGAAATGCTTTGCACAACCAGACATTTTTGCCATTTGTGTTTCTCACCGGAATGAGAATGAAGGTACCGGAGCTTGCTGCAAAGAATGGAGGCTAAAAAGAGAGAAAGGGGGAGAGAAATCCAGTAGATTTTATTTCTGAAACATGAAACAAATAAAATAAGAAACTGGGAAATAAAACAATCAGATCTTACAAATAAGAACCCCAAATGTGCAGACCCACAAAGAACAAAGTTGTGGGTTATTTTGCACGTGTTTTCTTTTGTTATATCATTTTAATCATACATTAAAGACAACATTTTTAAGCAGATCAGCCACACTCCTAGTAGTAACACCTACATGGGAGTACAGTGGTGCCCCGCAAGACGAATGCCTCGCAAGACGGAAAACCCGCTAGACGAAAGGGTTTTCCGTTTTGAAGTTGCTTCGCAGGACGAATTCCCCTATGGGCTTGCTTCGCAAGACGAAAATGTCTTGCGAGTCTTGAGATTTTTTTTCCGCTTTCCCCCTTTATCTAATCTGCTAAGCCTTTAATAGCCTTTAATAGCCTTTTAGCAGCTAATCCCCTAAGCCTTTAAGCCTTTAATAGCCGCTAAACAGCTGATAGCGCTAATAGCGCTAATCCGTCAATGGGCTTGCTTCGCAAGACGAAAAAACCGCTAGACGAAGACTCTTGCGGAACGGATTAATTTCGTCTTGCGAGTAAATCCCCATTGAACTTCTGGAACTTACTTCTGCGTAGACATGTACAATGACTAAATATTGATTAGGCTGACACAGACAATTTTTTAGGAAATAATTTATGATAATGTATCATTTTCCAAGCATCATAAGAACACATGGAGGTAGGAATCACATGCACCAGAACTCCATGTGGAGTGACTAACCTGTAGCCCTCCAGATGGTGTCAAACAACTCCCATCAGTTCCAGCCAGCACAGCCAGTGGGCAAGGATGATGTGGGATGGTGCCCAACAACATCTGGAAGGCTGCATGTTCACTGACCTTGATCCAGAATATTTCACAATGCAAAGGGATTTTCTGCAGCAGTTCTTCAGGAGACAAGTCAAACTGGAAAGGGCTTCCCCTGAAGACAGAAAGTCTGAAAACACCAAGATGTATGACCGACACCAAAACAAAGTCTAAAAGTGGTTTAAAAAGTAAAGATGGAATCTTTAGAGTTGAAATAAATGAGTTAGAGTTTTTTAAATATAATTTTTCTGCTTTGAATGTTCCTTTTTTGATATGAAATGGTATGATTTAGGGGTCAGATCATGGATTAAATGTGGATTGCTTAAGGGTACTCTCCCCTTGGTCTTCTGCAATTTGGAGAATTATCCACAATGCTCCCATCATTGGAGAGATAATAATGCACGGTTCATGGACAAGTTCCATTGGGGTGTGTGGGGTGTGTGTGTGTGTGTAGGAGCCAAACTATAGCACAAAGATGCTGTTCCTCCACCTCCATCCATACATTAAACAAGAAGACAAATTTCACACAGTCTAGAGAAGGATCCGGAAGACAGTAAAGATGCTGCGATATTCAGCTAGCAAACCTGGAGCCAACATAAATAGTACAGCTTCATTCTTCTTAAATTCAAAAAGAGGGAGCATCTGATGAAGCCTGGCTGCTGCTGTGAATGGAAAAGATGATCTCAGGCTCATCAAAGAATGTCTGCATGTATGATTCACTTCCAGGCAAGTCTCTGCCTTTGCCAGAAGGGCATGGACCATGGCACTGAGGTAATTAAAGCCTAAGTAAATAGCCCAAACCTGCCACAGTAGTGCAAGGTTATGACCAGATACAGAGGAGAGCCGCAGTAACTAATTGTGTACTTAACAAAATTAATTGAAACAGAAACCATTATTAGGCTGGTACAATGAAAGCAGCTTGCCCTTGTTCTGGGAAAAACTTTGACATCTCATTACCCTGATCTTTTACTTTCTATTTACTTGACTTGCGTCTGGAATCTGCTAGGTATGTTCACTACAGTTTCAAGTTTTCAAATTGTGGTTTTATTTATTTGTTTATTAAAAAATTTCTACCCCCCCCCCATATAACATCACTGTCTTCACTTTATTACAGTCAACAGACCAGAAATAAATGTACTACACAGTACCCTGTATTTATACAGGATAAATACAGAAAAGTGTAATAATAGTAACAGCTGGTCAGCTATATACAAAATAACAAATAACCTCAAGGTAATCCGCTGGAAATATTCCTTCCAGTCTTCTTATTCTCAGCAATAGGTATGTGACCTCTTTCAATGACACTCATGGGATTTTAACATAAACCATACTGTTGAAAAACCAAAACTTTAATGAGAAAATCTCCAACAGCTTAGTGAAAATCAGTGTTGGGGGTGGAGCAGACATAGCTGTCAGTTTCCAAAGGATTTTTGACACATCTGTACCTGGCAGGTAAATACATTTCAGTTGCCCTTTGAAAACTGACAGGCAAACGTGTTTCAATTTGCCTTTGAAAACCGGCTGCTATATCGACTACATCCCAGTACTGCTTTTCATTATGCCGCTTGCCTTATGCTCTTTTCCTGCCATTATTTAGACCAGTAGGAAGGAAGATATACTCTGATGTGCTCTGGGTGGGGCTGCCTTTGGACAATGTATGGAAACTTCAGCATGTCCAAGATGCCATGGCCAAATTGCTGACCAGAGCCAGTTCCAGGAGGAACAGAAGCACCTTGTTACAACAATTCCATTGACTACTTGGCTACTTCTGGGCATAATTCACAGTGTCCTTATACAGTTTGGGTCTAGACTGTTTGAAGGACTGTATCTCCCTGTATGAGCCTGGCTAGTCTGAGATCTGGGGTGGTCTTTCTCTCAGTCCCACCACCGTTAACAGGCACGTTTGGTGATAGCACAGGAAAGGGCTTCCTCAGCGGCTGTTCCCAGATTATGAAACTCGTTTCCATGGGAAGCTAGACTGACACTCTCCTTCTCTGCTTTCCTTTGCCAACAGGCAAAGACTTGTTTGTTCCAATAGGCCTTTGGACACTAACTGGTTGTTATGGCAGGGTCCTTTGAGGGAGGCATGTTCTGCTTTTAATGATTTTATGTGTAATCAATGCTATTTTTAATAGTTTCTTGTTTAATTTATTTTTGATATTTATATTTATTGTGTTTTAGTTGTATCTGTTTTAATTTATATTGTGAGGCGCCTTAGGTCCTTCATTGGTAGGAAGGCAGGTTACTTTAAAAGGTTAATCAACTTTTCTCAGAAGACAGTTCCAGGAGGGGAGAGTACTGTTGGGCTGAGGTCTTCCTTGAGGGTGTCCCACAGGCAACTGCCTTGCTACTGTGACAACAGGATGATGGACCAGGTGGCCCTGATCCTGCAGAGCTCTTCTTATGTTCCATAGCATTGGACTCCATTGGAAAAGTCCTTATTTAAGATTCTTGTCTTGTCTTGTTTTTACTAAGCCAGACCACTATCAGTTCTGTCCACATTATTATGCTTGATCAGTTGCTGAAAGCCAAGTGGCTGCTTGACAACTGAATGCAAACAGATTGCATATAAATGATTGCAATGCATTGCATACTTGGTCTAACAACCGGTAACATGGTTATTTGACCTATTATGACTTCCTTTGCTGCAAGATGCTGTTCATTTACATAAATTGATGAGCAGTTGGTAGATAGTCTATATGCGTTTACAACACTTGTTGCTCCCAAGCACGTGCATTCCCTTCACAAGTACACATCTTTTAAGCTTGGGAAACCTGTTCTGGAGCCAAAAATCCAAACTGAAGGCATCTTTGATTTAATGTTTGCATTTCCGCCCCCTCCCTGCCCTCCACTTGAGCCACTCACACAAATTGGTTCCTGGAATGATTTCATAGAAGCTGTTTGTCTTTTAACCCCCCCCCCCAAAAAAATCAACAGCTTACAAGGCATTCAGAATAACAAATACTTGTTTGCTTTCTATGCAGAATACAATATTTCCAAAGCACCATCATAATGCCCCTAATAGTAGACAGATAAAAAATACTTGCTGATGAGCATGTATCATAATAATCAATTTATGCTTCAAGAAATATAGACACAGTTTCTGCACCCAGAGTTTATACATAAGCACAACTGCAGTAGATGCTCTTGAGTGTTAATGATATCTCTGAGCAGTCAACTTTAGAACAAAATGATATATAAACCCATTGTAAAACTGTTATACTTCAACAGAAAAGAAAAAGCACAATTGTTTAGAATGACAACAAGATTACCACCCATACATATTCAGGCCAAAATGTAGAACATAATGCAGTGTATGAACCACCACAGTGGTTTGCTTAATGGTCCATCTGGGAAAGATCAATGATTCTGCACAGCGTTCTGACTCTACAATGGCTAACTGGATGCCTCAATCAAGTTCAGCTGGTGGGTCGAGATTGTAATAGCATCCTCTGTCAGTCCTTAGAATCTGGAAGTTGGAGAAGTATTGCCTATGAAGGTGAACATGCTGGAAACCCACTGAGTCAGCATCCCCAAATCTACACTATCCAAACTCTAACAAACTCAAACAGTGAGTGCTGACTGATTGAAGCCAGAAGAAGAAGGAAGAGGAGAAGGAAGAAGTCGTCAGTATCCTTGGGTGAATCCTGCAGAAGTACAAAAACTTCGCTTTAAAAGGATGCAACTCACTGATCTCCAAAACAGCCAAACAAGGACTAAGCATTCTTAGTGGCCTCCAGGACACAGAATGCTGAGTGCTGGTTGGGAATGAAACTCAGGAGGCCTGGGTGGGTGGGTTGGCGTTATTGAGTCTTTTACAGTTTATAGTATACCAGAGGAAAGCATGGCTAGGTTTGCATTATGCAGACCAGGCGCAGGCTAAGGTTCACTGGCAATATCTTTAAATGGAGCTTGAGCAACACTTACTGTTCCATAGAATGTTAACTGTTCAATTCATGAAGTAATGGAATCCCCCCTTAGTCTGGAGGCTGAAGTCAAGCAACATTGACAGCATACTTTTTCACAATATGGAAAGAAGGGTCATGATTTTTATTTTTGTATGTCATTGGCATATGACAAATGGATTTGCCCTGCCAAATCAAGAATGAAAAATAAGAGAATCTTGTTTTATAGAACTAGGTTGCTGGTCAGAACTGGAGATATTTCAATCAACCAAATTATTATGCCAGCTATAAATTTCCGTTTTGGGGGAAATGAGTTGCTAAACTAAATATTGTGGAATTCAAAACCAGCAGTACTTTCTGATCCATAAACTTTGATTATGGAAATAAACTCTCTGCATTATGGAAGTCGAATGGTAGTTTCTCTTGGTTTCTTTTTTTAAGGACAAATACTAGATTTTAACACAACACAGTTTGTTTCCCCCCAGCCATGCCCACCCGTCACTTACCTGATGTCACCTGTTTCCTAAAACCTAGGTAAAAGCCATTGCTGCAAAGGAGCAATCAGATTCTTTAGTGTGTGCTCCTGACTGTTCCTTGGCAGTGGGCCTTGTATTTGAGGCTGTTTAAATTAAGCACCAAATGCAAAGCCCACTATAATTAGTTCTACCTGAGCGTTCTCAGTTGGAGCATCCAAGAGGAACGGATCATTGCCGTAAACAGCAGGCCTTGCACTTGGCTCTGAACTTAAACAGAGCTGAATGCAAGTTTCATTGCAAAGAAACAAATGGAAGTGTGGCCACTTTTTGATCTGGCACACCAAAGAAAAGTGGAGCCCCATCCATGTAGGAACAGCTGTACTGTAAAGTAAATCCTAATGCTTGTGATGGAATTTTCCATGATCTACCTGCTTCTACCTGCATGTCCAGTCTCAGAGAAAAGCTTTCGGGGACTATCTATTTACATCCTGGTACTTTAGGTGCAGGGTGCTGCAAGACACCACTTGATCCCTAGTTCTGTTAACAGCTATACTGCAGTAGTCATCAGCAGATTTGGGGCACATAGTTATCACTATGCTGATGGTGTGGAGCTCTTTTTCTCTGTTAAATCTGGTTCAGAAGATGCTGTGCCTGAATGCAGTGAGGGTCCATAAATGGAAAATGAACTTTGCTATGAGAGAGGCACTGTGGGTGAGTGGCTCCCAAGTCCAGGTACTAGGGATTTTGTTCTACAGTTATTTTGGGGTTGCATTCCTCCTGAAGGAGCAGGTCCACCATTTAGGGGTGCTGTTGAGCCATCTTTGTCCATGAAGACCCAGCTGCCAATTTTCCCCTCCCCATCTTCATTTGAAAGAAACGTCCAAGGAAGGCAGGGTGAGAACCTTTGCCCAGTCTGAGAAAAACAAAGAAACCAATGCACCTCATTTGAATACTCCAGACCAATTTGCAGCCCCCTGAAGCTGCAGGCAGTAAAACAAAGGAGAAAAATCTGCCCAAAGATTTCTCACATAGCTCCAGAATTTTTAGATTGCAAATGCCATGGATGTTGTAGTCTGGGCGGGGGTGTGTGTGTGTGGCGGCTCTGGGTTGCAGAAAGCTGTCATGTGCCATGGGCAAAATCCAGCAGGAATCTGATATTTCGTTATCTTGTTTCATTTCAATAATAAATGTGTAGGAGAGATAATTTTTGTTGGATGGAAGCTGGGATGCAGAAACCAGGAAAAGTGATAAAAGATTTTCATTTCTCTTGGTGGAAACTTACTGGTTAAGATTCACGTCTTTTATTTATTTAGCTATTCCACTTCTAAAGTGTTCCATTGCAAAGACCAGGTAAGAAGAACATCACAATCAGTTCACATTTCCCTCAGGAACATTGCTTGGTGCTGTTGCCTTTTAGGTCTCGAGTTACATCTGCTTTATTCTATCTGTAATAGTTGTTTTATTGCTCTTCTCTGTCTGTGTCTCCCCTAATCTGAATTTTATAGGTTTATTTGTTTGCTAACATATGGGAAAGAAAAACATTTGATTGGATTGTTGCTGCATTTTTCTCTTGCCCGTTCTCCAAGGAACATGCGGTGCCACACATAGTTTTCTGGGCTGCACACCCACATGCCATTTTATTTGTCCAACAACCTTGTCAAATAGGCTAGGCTGCAGTGTGATTGACCCCAGGCCACCCCATCAGCTTTGTAGCTGAATGTGACCCATGACCATCCAGAGGGCAGAATTTCTGCTTTTGATTTCTGACAGCAGAAAACTTCCTTTTAAAATGGAAACTGCACACACACCTTGCTGGATGAAGCTGCTGTAAACCTTCTTCTCATCTGCAAGGTACCTTCACAGTTCCCCCCTCTTATTTATTGCAAAATGTTTTGATCCAACTCATTTCTTTGACAAGTAGTGATCCAATGCTTATGTGAGAGAAGCAGAAAACTCGAACAATGATCTGTTTGGAGACTTGTTCCCATGTACGTCTTATCCACTCTCCTGCAGGTAGAGGAGGGATTTTATTTATTTTTAAAAAATTATACCCTGCTTTTCACCATCTGGATCAAGTGGCTTACAAAATAAAAACATACGGTATATAAGATTTAAAACAGAAAGACCGGAGGATTGAAACACCAGAAGATTAAAATATCAGAGCAGCATTCATGGTGCAAAGACCTCATGGAACAAAACAGTATTATTATTTCTTAGGAAGTTCAAACTGTCCTAATTTCCAAGGTCCTGTTTTTCAAGGTCAAGCCTTGAAAAGGCTCCACGCAGGTGGAGTATTGAGGAATCAAGCTAAGTAGTGGTCCAGAGACCAGTTGCAAGACGAAGGTGCCGAAAGGCAGAGACTGTGCGACCAATAAGCTGGCCGAAAACCAGAGTCTGGGAACAAGGGTTCTCAAAGACAGGGCCTTCAGTACCCTGGACAGATCCTAAGGAAGAGACAACTTGTTCCAAAAGTGTTGGTTGCAGAATGAGTTCTTAGATGGCCCCTCAGTCACACTGCCTCTCCCAGGCTCTGCTTCATTGCTGGTAAATAAAGAACCCTCTGACCTGAAGGTTGGCACTGTGTTGCCTCTCTGCTAACTCTAATAAGACATGCTGCCTGTAGTCAAGCACAGTGGCATGTGAGGCTCATAGGGGAATGTATGCTGGCTTCTTGGTGGGGTGCAGCTCAGAGACTGCAGTCACTGGGGAGTCCTGGTTCAGAAGTTCCCTGGTTGTTGGACGCAGACTCAGTGGAGTCAGGGTCCAGATCTAGCAGTTCTTTCATCCAGCCATCTTTGTGGAGACCCAAGTGCCAATTTTTCTTTACCATAACTTTGAGAGATAGGCCAAGATAATTATCTTCATGCTATAGTTGGACAGCTGAGGCTAAAAGATAGTGGCTAGTTTTAAGGTAGTTAAATATGTTCTTAGCAGAGGTGATAAACCCCAAACATTTTTGGTCAGCCTGCTAGCTGCTACCTACCAGTTAACCCCTCTCCTTGCTTTGAGCAAATGTCAGATTCCGAAATTGTAGAATTGACAGGATAAACCACGAACTTATCATAACCATAGCCCAATAATATTAGAACATTGCAATTCTACTAGTGGCATTAGCCAGACACATTGTTGTAGAATAAATGTGTTGAGCTTTTAATATCTATCACCGCATATTATTACTACATAGTACATATCTCAATATACAAAAAAAGCATTGTGTGTTTCACTTTGCAGTTGTTCCTTATTCTTAAACATGCCTAAAGCTCTATATGACACAGTTTGACATCCATGAATACATCACCTGAACATTTAAGAAATATTGGGAAAGTGCTGTGCTTTACCCTACCCCCACCCCCCAATATGGCAAAATGCACACTGTTGTAAACATAGTTAAACTTACATTTATTTAATGGTATCACTTTTCACATTTAGATTGTATACAACATACGGCTTATTTCAGAAGGGGGCCACACAACCCCGGTAAACACAACTCTCCTCACATTTTTTTCACAACATGAATTAATACTGTACTGAAAATACTTAGAGATTCTTGACCATTCTAATCAAGGCCTGCCTTCACCACCACCCCTCTGCTGCTGTTGTTGAAAATATAAAAATCCTTCGCTTTGCTCATTTAATAGATGTGCAGCATAATCCAAGCATGTCTTATATAAAATGGAGGGGATTCCTCTCCCAGCCTTCATGAATCCCCCTGCAATGAAGAGCCCTCTTAATTCTCCTTGAGTTTACATTTACTTTTACATATTGGTTTACATTGTGGGGGGGGGGGGACGACAACATTTAGATGCTGTTTGTGTTTTCATCTGGACTCTGAGATTTAGGGTTTGCCATCCTTTTTTATGCAAAACATAACCCATATGGCTTAATTAGGCCTATTAAGGAGATTCAAGGCTTTCTGGCTCTTGTGTGTAAACTAGGGTGGGAAGAAGGAGAGGCACACATGGGGGGAGAAAAAGGTAGTTTCCAGGGCTTTGGGAGTCATTTTGACTAAGAGCAGCAGGAGTGGAATTCAGGGCAGGGCAGGGAGGCCCAGACTATTTAGTTATTTTAAAGGATGAGAGCTATTATTATATTGGAGTCTCAAATCCATATGGAGGGAGGATAATACTTAAAATAAATTTGTGAATGTTTAAAATGGTAACTGTTGTTGCTAGACTATAGTAGAACAGTGAGTCAGGAACTCCATTTCCCATCAGGCTGTCCTGCTTGGATGGAAGAAGGCTATGTCTCTCTCGGGGAAGTCTGTTGCTCTCTTCTTGGTCTCTCCAGTTAAATCTTTAAAAGTCTGAACTGTGGGAAGTTTGAAGGTAGACTTGCTACTTTTTGTAAAGGCTAAATTGTGGTTGAATGGAAGCCCAATCAGCCCGTTGGGGGTAGCTACTCTACTTAACTGGCAATATAGGCACTGCTTAATGATCACATCAGACATAGGACAGGACTTGCCCATAGGGATTCTGGGTTTTTCTATAGGCAGACAGTATCCCATGTTTTACCAAAAAGTTTGTGTCTTATCAGGATGTTCTCCTGCAGAAGGATCCAAGAGAAGCTTTGTTTGTTTGTTTTTAAAAAAGTAAAAGTAAATAATCTTCCCAGTTCCCAGTTCACTAGCTGCCACTGGTTGGCAGGGGATATTCAGGCCAATTCTCCAGTGAAACATAGTTCAGGACAAAGTGGGTGCCAGGAATTCAGTGCAAGCTGCTATTATTGATATTATTCTGACCTGGGCATTGAGATGTGGTGCACAATGCCAAATGCTGAAAGACCTGCAAAATGGAAACATAAAGAATGTCAACGAGCTGTTGCAAAATACTAAGCTGACAAGTGAGTTTGCCAAGCAGCCTTCACTGCCTGCTGTTGTGACCACTATTGTCTCGATTGTCAATCCCATACAGGAATTGGAGTTACACTGCCAGGAAAAGGATATGACAAAACCTGAAAGCAGAATGGGGGGAAACCAACAACCATCGAAAAGGGAGTGAGTTAGCTTGTAAAAAAAAGCTTTCCAGAATTAGAATCTCCTGCACAGCTAAGAATAGGAAGACGTGTCAGCGTGTCGCCTGTAAAATGTGTTGAGAATGTATAGAGGAAGCAAAGAAGTACTTTAAGAATCAGTACTGTGTTGACTTCACTGGGATCTGACAGAAATGGTCATTTTAAAAGAATTGTGAATCACCTCAATTTGGAAGTGCATCAGCGGGCAATAGAGCTGCACTGGGAGAAAAGCAGTGATAAATATCCATGGCTGAAAATACGGAAGACGCAAAATGCAGAAAATATCAAATTCACAGTCACTTTGGCATGTGGGGAGACTATTTCTGCATATCTGTGGCCATCCTGGTCCTTGATCACTCTTGCTACCAACCGCTTAGAGTGCCTTATGAATGATGAAAGACCTGATCATGAAACTACCAGCATTTAATCACTGTAGAGATCTTGTTTATTACAGAGAAGTGTTGGCAAGTATCAGTGCCACAGAACTAAATTGAAAATTTGATGAATGTTTGGCATTCAGTATTCCCATTGATGGCAGTGTCAGCAAACAGAAGATAACAAATGTATTAGTTGTAGAACTGCAATGACAAATAGAAATTGGAGAAATCTTTTCCTACTGATGCATCTGCCAGAGCAGAATAGGGCTAAAGGTTTGCTTGAAGCCCTGAAATAATGTAGTTTCTGATGAACTACATGAAAGAAGTCCGGAAATAATGTAGTTCTGATGTCAAGAAACGGATGGAAATGACTGGAGAATCAGCGAAGAACTCTGGTCTTGGGAAACATTTAAGAGATCAGCACATTAGAGAAAGTTTGACTTTTTGGTGCTGTGCTCACTGATCAGACCTTGCTGCATCATCACCACTGTTCCAGAGCTGAAGATCTGGAAGGCTAGCCTATTAGCTTGGAACACCTACTTCCACACATCAAAGAATAAAACAAATCTACTGGGTTCTGTCTTTCTCGCATCAAAACAATTTTTGCAAAATCACTATGTATGGTTTATACAGCACCATGTCCACCTCATTAATAATAGTGTTGCTCAACCAGACTAGTTGCCAGAAAGTCTTAAGAAGACTGAAGATAGAAAAGAAAAAGCAGAAGCCCATGGTCTTCTGAAAACATGGAATGATAAAACAAATTTGGCTAACAAAACGGGAATAGCTTAGATGTGCACCAGGTTCTACAATATTATCTGTAATGTGATAAGAGCATCTTTCCTGGCACACTTGCTTGTAGAGATTCAGCAATCAGAAAGCTACAGTTAATGAAGGAAGGTCCTTTCCCTGGAGATGTGAATCCAAATCCAAATTTAACTTCGCCAGTCATGGTGAAAGAATTGAAGATTTGCTAACAGTCAAAATGCATGTGCAATTTGTTTGGAAAGTGTGCAAGCAGCTGAACAATTTTTTTAGCAGAGCATCTTCATAAAGAACAGGACCCTAAGCTGTCTGCTATCCAAGGTCTGCTATAAACATAGTTACTCACACAGCTTGTGAAGACAGGATTGATATTGTATGCTAGAATCTTTCTTGCATAGAAGAAGGAAGGGAACCATGGGAAGTAATTTCTAAAGTGCCCCCATCTCCCACATTGGAGTGATTTAGGATGTTCAGTGTCTCTGTATCTTCGCTAGCTCGTTCCTATAAATTATAGCATGGTGCAATAATGTTTGGCAGCAATTGCAATTCTCTCACCACACTCAGTGCAAACTAAAAATAATTGTGTCCCTGCATAATGACACACAAACACAGGTAGTTAATGCATGGCCAAACCCACCTCTGAATGGGCTTGGTACAGCCTGTTGTGATCCTCAACCGGCTGTTGTCCACTTTTTTCAATCAAAGTCAGGAGACAATGTCAGCCTGCTCAGGAGATTTATGCTGAATGGATTATAAAAAAAGAGAGTTCTGGACATTTTAGTTTTGTTTTAAATGCCAAGTTTCTTTAAATTACAACAATTTACTATTAGAATATATGTTCCAAGACGTTTGCCTATTTAAATCAATGTGTGTTTAATTATTTCAAGTGAAGATGAAAAATGCACTGTTGCATGATTTTTAAGTGCCCTTTTGCGTTCATTCTCCTGCCCTCTGCCACAGTGAAAATTCCTTTTTAAAAAATCCCTGGATGACATCACTTTGGGTTAAATAGGTTTTACTCTAAACTAAGCATGCTTAGAAATGCTGCCTTACTTTAGTGCAAAAAGCAAAACCATAAAGGTGTTTTCTTAAGCATGAGTGAAGGTGGGCAGGTAAGATAGAACCAGGGAGTCCCTTACATCATTTTGTTATTTCGTTTTTGTTGCAGGCTTGCTCATTTAAAATGGTGTAAGTAAGAAGTTAGCATCCTACCAGACAAAATGGGGGGAAAGCCTTCAGGCCAGTCTCTGAAAATGGTCGTGCTCTCTCTGCATATGTGCTAACCTGTTGCGCAAGTGCAAATGTACTACACTGATCTGACTCGGCTACTAGGACTGTCCCATCTATGCAGGTATTTCACAGAAAGGGGATGAGAATGCCTTATCAGTGGGTATTATGGGTCCAGAAGAGTGGAGTATGGGACAGTGAAGATGGAGAGCTGGCTCTACTCTGGACCCTGTGGCTGTTTCCGTACAGTGTGAAGGACAAAATGGGGGACTGGCTCATTCTAGCAATAAATAACGATAATGATAATAACCCTGACTTTCTTCCAGAACCTGCATGTACCAAAAAAGTTTCCTCCCTCCGCAGTCTTCTGTACAAGGCTAACAAAGAAACAGGCTGATAATCTGATGAGGACTTGGATGCCTTCAACATTCATCTCTGAACAGTAGAAACTGAAAGGAGCCCACATATTATAATGCAAGACCCTAAAAATGACAGTGCAGGTGTGGGCAGCCCTTCTGCTCTGCATTAAACCTTGCTCGCATGCTGTCAGTTTGTTCTCTGGTCACTGTCCGCCTCTCTGTGCAATTATGTACATTTGTTACGTACAGGAACAAACAAACAAAACAAAACAAGCAGCAATGGCTACACAGATCTTGTGACCGTTTTCAGTCTCTGTGGTGCAGCCTATACATTCTCCTCATGGCAGGGGTGGTTGCCATTGATGAAGCTGAACACGACCATCGATTGGTTGGAGCTCTTGAGGGACGCCATCCGCATGGTGCTTCTGCTCTGGGACTTCATGAGCTCGCGGGCTTTGCAACATGAAAGCTGGTGGTTAAATTGTTTCCTGAAACTTTTGCTGAGCAGGTAGAGTGCAAAGGGGTTAATGCAAGAGTTGGCAAATGCCAGGATCCGAGCACAGAGAGAAGTGATAAAGTGCAGAATGGATGTGTCCACCTCGGAATAATGGTACGATCGATATAAGTAGATGATGTGATTGGGCAGCCAACAGAAAGCGAAGATGCAGACGAAAACCAGCACTGTCTTGGCTAGGCGTTTTCGCGATTCCATCTGAAAAGAACAACATGGTCAACAACATTCAATAGAAGATGTGGAAACTATTTCAATTTAACAGAAGACAGGGTAATTTTGTTCTGCACTGAGTTTAGCAATCTCTGAAATATAGTCATGCTTCTCCCACCCCTTCTAAAACTCCATTTTCTTTTGAAATAAATCCATTTGAAATATTAATAAAAATAATAAAAATAAATTATTATTTGTACCCCGCCCATCTGGCTGGGTTTCCCCAGCCACTCTGGGCTGCTTTCAACAGAGCATTAAAAACAGAATAAAACTTCGAACATTAAAAACTTCCCTAAACAGGGCTGCCTTCAGATGTCTTCTAAAAGTCAGATAGTTGTTTATTTCTTTGACATCTGATGGGAGGGCGTTCCACAGAGCGGGCACCACAATATGTTTACAGTCCAGTCCTATCCATGTTTGCTTGACCCCGAGTTGAACGGGACTTACTTCCATGTAAGAATGCAAAGGATTGCAGCTCCATGGGCCTAGTTAAATGCATTATGACACCTTGCATACATACAGTGAAGTACAGCAGTAAAGATTTGCCATTATGGAACACCATATTTCATACCAAGAGCAAAGGAACATATTGCCCTATGGTTCTATCCATGTTTGTCCCATCATTGGTAACTTGATCTTTGTACAAATGTAAGGAGAGGGGAGCCTTGCTGCAGGGAGCAGAATTCCCATGTCATAGTTATGTGAGGAAAGTATCCTGTGGACAAGAAATGCATAAACATACTTTTCAGTGGTGTTTCCAGTTCAGTTAAATACAGAAAATGGGCACATCTAAGTCCTACCAAGACATCACAGCTTCCCATGCTCCCAAAAGCCACAAAAACTGAAGTATGCAAAGAGAACAAATGGAGATGTGAGGGAAAATCCTGTTCTTTGTTTTTGACAGTGCCATAAATGAGAATCTTGAAAAGCAGAGTAAATGGCAATGCTGCCCCCACAATTCCTGCTCTTTGCTAGTGAGTTGGGGCAGCAGAACAAAGGATGTGCAGGAGCTGAAGTAGTCAATATGTGTGGACAAGGGAGGTAGGTAAAGGTAAAGGTATCCCTGCCCCTACGGGCCAGTCGTGTCCGACTCTAGGGTTGTGCGCCCATCTCACTTAAGAGGCCGGGGGCCAGCGCTGTCCGGAGACACTTCCGGGTCACGTGGCCAGCGTGACAAAGCTGCTCTGGCGAGCCAGCACCAGCGCAGCACACGGAAACGCTGTTTACCTTCCCGCTATAAAGCGGTACCTATTTATCTACTTGCACTTAGGGGTGCTTTCGAACTGCTAGGTGGGCAGGAGCTGGGACCGAAAGACGGGAGCTCACCCCGCCGTGGGGATTCGACCCGCCTACCATGCGATCGGCAAGCCCTAGGCACTGAGGTTTTACCCACAGCACCACCCGCGTCCTGACAAGGGAGGTACTTGGATCCTAATGCCCCTTCAAAACTGGGGCAGACACTCTTTTATATTCTGGTCCCAAACCACAGATAGATACACGCAGAATACTGCTGCCTATGCCTCATTGCCTAGCAGATGGACAGCACTATCACCGTTGACAGTGTTCCAGTTCAGAGCATAATTCCACCTCTAGACGACCCCTAAGCAGACAGCCATTTGGTTCCTCTTTACATGGCCTGGTTATAAATATTTTCAGATCTGGCCTGGGCATTGGCCTGGGCATCAGCCAGACCTTCTCAGTCTTGCTAGCCACCCAGAGTGGCTGCGGCAACCCAGTCTTATGGGTGGGGTATTATTATTATTAGTAGTAGTAGTATTACCTGACACCTTACCTCCCTGAACATCTCCCAGTCTTCTACCACCCTAACATCCTTTCCCGTTCTTTTGCCTGCCCATCTATACTCTTGCTCCAGCCCCACACAAGATGCTTTTCTCAGCTCAGACCCAGCCTGCAATTATTTCTGCTTCTGGCCATACACTCCTGTGGATTTATTCAGTAGTGGCATGTGGCATAGGCTGGAGTCACTCTCACAGCACCAGCACTGCAGCTTCTTACCTAGATGGGACTGAGGCTGGGTGGGTGTGAGGTTGCACTGGTAGGACCACCAGATTGGTGTTGTGGCCACAGAACTCTGAGCTCACTGCTGCCATTGCCCAACTCAGCCTCATCTGGGTAAGGAATGGTAAAACCAATTTCAGGAGGGCAGCTCCATCCCAACACTTGTACCAACGCCGGATCTAGCCCAGCAGTTTCATTCAATCCCAGCAATTCTATTCAGTGGGGTGCAATCTGGCCAGGATTTTCATTTCAACTTTCTGTATCTCGACACTGACAGACATGGAGAAATCTAGAGAGCATGACTATATCTCACAAAAGAATCAGTCAACAAGTAATGAGCTTAGCCTCTCAGAAAAGCAGCTGTTCCACCTTGAAAGAGGCAAGCCAGCAACAGTACCGCCATTGTCATCTATCACTGTCACTTCAGATCTTTTATTCCTCTCAGTTGCATAGTCTGAAAGGTATGGAGTTGACAACAGGTGATTGACACAGGCCTGCTGAGAAACAATTTTTTTTCAAAGATCAAACTAACAATTAAGTTCTGTGATAGACTTTTCTGTGAAGGCAAATCATATATACTTTATGGAGTGGAATCTTAACTTAATACTTGTTGCTCCTGCTACCTGCATGGACATTATGAAGGCAGTAATGCAATAAACAAGCAATACTTGTTTCTGAAAGAGACAAAAAGCACTGTCTGTCTGAAACTCAAAGAGGAAACCACTGTTTTACAGACTTAATCTTGGCTCCTGTTTCCCTTAGCTGGTGAGAAATATTGCTTCTCCTTTTTACCCTGCATATATTCAATGGTTATTGTCAGAGGTGCAGAAGGAAGAATAGAATAAAGCATGAGCAAGAAATACAAGAAGAATGCTTCGTATAATTTAGAAAACATAAAGAGCATTAGTTGTTTTTGGAAAACACCCACAAGTTATTCAGTGTGATACATTTATTTCACCCCAAATTTTTTCTAGTTAATGCACAATTTAAAATGCAATCCTATGCATGTTTACTCAGAGGTAAGGGCCAACTGCATTCAATGGGGCTAACTCTCCAGTGAGTATATAGCAGGGGTGGGGATCCTGTGACCCTTCCAACGTTTGATGTTTGCAAAGGTCACTAGGATTTGTTATCCATATCCTTCTTGGAGGCATGACCCAATCAGGTGGACTGGAAACAAAGGTGCTGGTTATTGAGTCCTTCCCCAGAAATGTTACGTACTTAATCCTCACATGACTTTTCCACATGAATGTATTTATGGAATTGCTTTATAGAAACAGTCTTTGAACTCCAAATACTTAAAGTCATTAGAGCTGTAAATAAACAAGGACAAACGAGAAGGAACTGAGACTCCCACTCATGAAATATACACAAATGACAAGCTGCAATGTACCGTAATTTGTCCATACCTCTTTGCTCAATGGAGCCTTTGAAACACCTTTCTCTTTATTTGTAATGAAATGCCATTCCCACTTTGGCTTTGGGTAGTTATTACTTGCAAACAAAATAAGACATACCTGTTTTCTAACATGGACATTTCCTTCCACCGGTAGGTTGTAAGCACTCCGTATCAGGTTTTTGGCAATGAAATAATAGTATACTGAAATAACAGACAGGGGAATTATGTAAAAGATGAGAAAGGAAGCCATGGATTGAATTTTTGGATGCAGCTCATTGGTCAGTGGGTAGGGTGTACAACTGATGAATGTTTTGTTAGTGCCTTTGTCATAGAAAGGTCGCAAGTCTGAAAACACAGCTTCAGGAATGGCAAGCAGCATAGATAAAATCCAGATCATGATAGCTTTCAAACAAATCTTCATCAGGGCGTGGGAAGCTTGAATGTCCATTGGTCTCACTATAGCTCTATACCTAAGGACAAGAGAAATAATTATGTTACTAACCATAAGGATGAACCTACTGGGTCAAACGTGCCTTGATTAGCACCTTATTCACATGAGAAAATATGTTTGGCCATAAAAACTGGATTATACTCTTCCCTTCCCCCATTCCCAGTAGTAATAATAATAATAATTTTATTATTTATACCCCACCCATCTAGCTGAGTTTCCCCAGCCACTCTGGGCAGCTTCCAACACACATAGAAACAGTGGGTCTGAATCTGTGATGGTGAGGATTTGCCTGTGTGACATGGCTGATAGCTATTTTGAAAAATGTTAAACTTTTAGGGAAAATAGTTCAGCCTGCAAAATGATTGCCCATGACATTGATTCCTTTTCATTAATGTGGGCATTAATATGTCTATAAATAGCATTCATAAGGGGCTCCTTTTGATGAGAACAGAAAGGAGGACAGCACATAACATTCAGAGTGACAGCAGCTGAAAGTGCCAGTCCATCTTGTGTTTAGTTTGGCTACATTTCCTGGAGGGATTTCTCCCTGTGCCCAGTGTTGCTGATTCTGTACCTCTTTGTACAAATCTACCATAGATTGGACAAAAGTCCCTCCTCTGCTGTCTTGCACTTTGCACCAGGGAGAAAAGCCTCCTTTGGTGCAGTGGAGGTTTCCTTCCTGATGCAAAGAGCAGCTTCAGATGGGAGCGTAATTTTAATCTAGACCACAGTGGGATGGGGTGTTAAACTTCCCTTCCTTACCTTCTTACTTGACCCCTGTACAGCTGCTACTGACATTTTTTTAAAAAAGAAGGAACAAGCATTTTAATTGCATTCAAACAATGAAAATCATATCTAATTTATCCCTTGTAATTGTGTCTTTTTTTGCCTTAGTTCGCTTTCCCAAAGTTAATGACTGTATCATTCAAGAAGGCCAGAACTCCTGCTGAGAAAAGTCAAAATCCCTGTACCTTCATGTTGAATTAATATCCAATGTTTTCTGGAGGAGATGCTTCAGTGTTTGATACCACTTATGATGCACAAGATTTCACTGGGGGAATGGAAATCTGACTGATCTAGTTATTCAGGTGGAAGGGACAAGCATTATTGACATAAGAGAAAATATCTCAAGGGTTATCACATGGAAGATGGAGCAAGATTATTTTCTCCTGCTCTGGAGGGTAGGACTCAGACCAATGGATTCAAGTTACAAGAAAGTAGGTTCTCAGAAAGAACTTTCTGATGGTAAGAGCTGTTCAACAATGCAGTGGACACCGTTGGGAGGTGGTGAACTCTCCTTCCTTGGAGGTTTTTAAGCAGAGGTTGGATGGCCATCTGCCATGGATGCTTTAGTTGAAATTCCTGCATTGCAGGGGGTTGGCCTTGATGACACCTGAGGTCCCTTCCAACTCTACAGTTCTATGATTCTGTGTAAATTTCCCTGACTCTTTTGTATCATTGGCTGCCGCTTGCAGGCAGTAGGCAAAGAAACACACAACACAGTTATGTCACATCACAGGATATCATTCTGAGCAGAAACCTAATGTTCTCCTGCAGTCTGTAGCTTTAGCCTATGAATGAAAAACAGCAGAATCTTTGAACTGATTAATCTCCACTGTGACTAGCAGACAGTGGTGGCTGGTGAAGCAGTTTGTTAGTTGGAACTGCTGGGTTTTGCTGTGGAATTATTAAGGTACGAAAGCTTCCTTTCTCTCCAAGTGCTTGGAGGGAGAGCCTTCCTCATTCAGCAGCACTGTGAGAATGCAGAATTTCTGACTATTGACCAAGCTGACTGAAGCTGATGTGTGTCCAACAACTTCTGCAGAACTTCAGGATCCCCATCTCTGGACTAGGAAACCCGTTCATCAGCTGCTACCACCAGACGATTCACTCACCTTTAATGGGCAGAATGATAGCTCACATTCCATGTGCTTTTGGAATTTATTCTCTTCCCTTACAGTATTATACCTTCCCAACCCAGGATGCAGCTCAATAAGACACTGAACAAGTGGTATTTTTCCAGTTGCTAATTAATGATGTATGGCTACACAAAATGTCATTTTTAAGGACTGCTACCATAAACACCTGGATATATCCTTTCAGTTCATTGGGCTCCTTTACTATTTTATGATAAAACATGGCACTTAATTCCCCACCCCTAGTGCATTCCTATTTTTGTTCAAATCAACTAATTTATGTAAACAATTATCTGTGATGTCAAATTGCATGTGTGGAACAGATCTCATTTGTGTTTGCTCTAGAAGGCTGTTACTATTTGATCAAGATAAGCACATTCTTAAGAAAATTAATGTGAGTGGGAGAGTCAAGCACTCATTCAATGTCTCCCATGGGGCATAAAAGTGTTTAACTTTGGCTCGATCATACTCACTGCTGCTTAATCCAGATTTTTAATTTTAATTCAGTGGGGAGACTTCTGTTGCTTGTACACTTCCCAACTGAGCCAAAAAGGTTAAAAAGCAATTATGTTATTGCTTGATGTGTAATTACTGAATAGCTGCTTTTAAAAAATAAAATAGTTGTGCTTTCTGCCTTGCTCTCCCTCCCATTTTAGTAGATTATTTGCTATGTGTGTGCATTTCGTATGGAAGCCCAGAATTAACAAACATGTTCATTGACCAGCAGAAAGGAATATGATGATCTACACATAAGCACCTTCAATAGTAACATTTGGCCCAGGACTGGTCTGTTAAGTTGAAGGGACCTGTGTGCTGCAGTTGTTGATAAGGCAGGGGTGCTTACCTGACCTTCCATCACTGCTGTTCCTGTGGTGTACTGGGAGGGCAAAGAGAAAGAGCAAGGCAGCAGCGAGATTGGTGTGGTGCAAACACACCAGGAGAAACACTGGATTGGCTCTGCCAATGTGTTTCCACCACACCAAGCTCACCACCACTTCACTTGCCCTCCTGGTACTCCATGGCCAGGTAAGCAGCAGCACCCCACCCATTGCTACTGCCTGTGTACAAGATGAATAGTGGGAGCCCTAGTGGATCATCAAGTATCAATCATAAGCATCAAATTTTTCTGCCTATTTCCATACTCCTCAGCAATGGGGCAAAGCCACTCAGCTCATCAGTACTAACCACGAATTGTCTGAAAGACCACAATGTATGGGTGGTTAGATTTTAACAACCTTTAATCAGTTCTCCCGAATTAGATAATTTTTGTGTGTGTTCAGTGCTTTTGTACTAGTCAGACAATTGGTTCAATTACTTAAAAAGTCTTTCTCCAGAACTCCAGCTGAGATGCAGGTGGACAGTATGGGGATGACCCTTATAAGAAATATTCAGAAAGCTCTGCAATAGCTACTGTTTAGCTCAGAGGAAACATGAGCAAAAAAGGCTGCTTTGGTAATATAATCTTACCCAGTTCCTGAGTCAATTCTGTCCTGCACCTCTTTCAGTTAATATCACATCTTAAATGCATTTTAATAACTGCTCTTTCCTGCGTTAGTTTCAGAAATCTAATCAGATATCTGGGAGTTAACATCAACTGAGTGAAAAGTTTGGAAGTGGTCTGTTCCCAGCCAAACATACAAATAACCAAATAAAACAATAATACATCCCAGGTTTTAGTATGATTTTGGGATAATAGAATTTTGGAGACATGCTGAATTTTTACAACGCATCTTAAAAAGATCCAGCAGTTCATCTTCAGTTAGCCACTACCTACAAGTATGATTGTTTGTCTTGGCACTGATTTTGAAACTGAGGGTGGATTTGCATGGGTGGACAGTAATATAAGCTAGTCTGAATCCACCTCCAGCCACTTTCTTCCTACAAGGAAAATTATGGTTGCAATCACCTCAGGGTGAAAGCAACAGTGGTTGCCAAAATCAGCTTGTAGAAAAGAGAAAAATGCCCAGGTGAGTCACTCTGGAAGTTAATGGCTTAAGTGAGTACGTTCCTAGTTACCTGGACCAAGACAAAGAAGTTGCTATAGTAACTGATTTAGTTCACAGTGACATAAAGCGTAGCTAGTCAAGAATGACGATGGGCAAATATGGAGCTGGAGAAACTTATAGTAGATAGAGAAGTGTAATTGCTGGAATCCTTGCAGAGGCTAACAAAGAACATTATGAGAAACCTGCAACCAAGCAGATAAACAGCCCAAACTCATCTGAAATGTTTCATGTGAGGTGCTGTACAACCTTTGAAGCTACACTTCTGGTTCTGTTCCCTAGTTCCATGTGCATGTTTTTATTATTTACCATCAGAATTTATGGCAGCTTAAATCCCTGATATACAGTAGATGCATTGAGATGGTAACTAATTGGTGGGATTTACTTGGGAAACCAGCAGAGACATCACCTTGCCAACAAAGGTCCGTATAATTAAAGCCATGGTTTTCAAAGTAGTGATGTATAGAAGTGAGAGCTGGACCATAAAGAAGGCTGATCGCCAAAGAATTGATGCTTTTGAATTATGGTGCTGGAGGAGACTCTTGAGAGTCCCATGGACTGCAAGAAGATCAAACGCATCCATTCTTCAGGAAATTAGCCCTGAGTGCTCACTGGAAGGACAGATCGTGAAGCTGAGGCTCCAATACTTTGGCCACCTCATGAGAAGAGAAGACTCCCTGGAAAAGACCCTGATGTTGGGAACGATAGAGGGCACAAGGAGAAGGGGACGACAGAGGACAAGATGATTGGACAGTGTTCTTGAAGCTACAAACATGAGCCTGACCAAACTGCGGGAGGCAGTGGAAGACAGGAGTGCCTGGTCCATGGGGTCACGAAGAGTCGGACACGACTAAACGACTAAACAACAGCACTTGGGAAACCACATTTGGGTCCTGAAGAACCCTATTTTCCCCTGGCATCCTGCTAAATAAAGCAAATTCCAACACTATCATTCATGGGGCTTCATTTTTATATAAATTATAATAATCTAAAACTTAAGACAGATTCTTTGAGTTATGAATCTCAAAGGACTCACAACCCTTAGAATATCCCAAATAATATTTGGGAATTGTGAGAAGCTACTAGTAAATATCATGAAACATTTATCATGAAACATTCTCCCCATGGAGAAACAGAATATCTGAAGAAATATGCAGCAAATATCAAGCCGGGAACCAGGATGCCTCTGTCCAATGTGTGAGACCCTGCTCTCTTCCAGTTTTTCATGTGTGCAGACACACATCCCTAAAGAGACAGAGAGATGGACAGAAATATGCCACTCCACATAGTGGTACTGCCAAGAGCATGAGCCTCATTTAGCAAGGCTGCTCTTCTCTCTTAGCATATTTAGCAGAGTGATTAATCCAATCTCAGTCCCAAGCAATGTGAGCTAATAAGTGCAGCAAATGTTCTGCACAGAACCCACAAACAAGTGGCCTCTGAAAACTCACAGTCCAACATTATCAGCAATTAATATCCAGGACTCAACGTCCTGCTCTTTTTAAAAGGTCAGACACAGGTTCCCTTGGAGATGGCTTGAGTTGGCCTCAATTAAAAAAAATATGTAATCTATTCAGTAAATCCATTAATATTATTCTTGTAGGACCTTAGCAGAAGCGGGGTGTTCATCTGCCTGTGTGCTTTTGTGTGTGTGTATGTTATTTAAAGAGAGAAAGCTTGTACTACTAGAAATTCTACAGATTGGAAGTTGCTACCATGATAAATGCTTTTTTCCAGGTTACTGTTTACCTGGAAAGGCAAGAACACAGTGGAAGACTGATGCAGGTATGCAGTTATAAACATTATGATCCAAATGTTTCCTAGAACAGGAGAGTGGGCTACAAACATTTGCATTACTGGAGAGAAATGTCATCTTGAGCGATGTCGCATACAAAAATATATCCCTGCGAATGGAAAAGAACTACTTGTGACTTCGTTAAGTTCCTTATTTATTTGATCGTACAGACCCTTCTCATCCAGTACAGCCACCGCTATCAGCTGATAATACAGGATAACCTTATGGTGAGTTTGGTCCAGATTTCCTCGTGCTTCGAAAAGTACAAAAGGTTGGAAGAATGGATGCCCTTTTTCAGAACATTTTAAAAAATATTATAGTATGATGAATTCGTGAGCAGGATTTGAGATATGAGCAACAGAAGTAATTAGGTTATAATATTGTAGTTGTAGGGACGCGGGTGGCGCTGTGGGTTAAACCACAGAGCCTAGGACTTGCCGATCAGAAGGTCACGGTTCGAATCCCTGCGACGGGGTGAGCTCCCATTGCTCGGTCCCTGCTCCTGCCAACCTAGCAGTTTGAAAGCACATCAAAGTGCAAGTAAATAAATAGGTACCGCTCCGGTGGGAAGGTAAACGGCATGTCCATGCACTGCTCTGGTTCACCAGAAGTGGCTTAGTCATGCTGGCCACATGACCCGGAAGCTGTACGCTGGCTCCCTTGGCCAATAAAGCGAGATGAGCACTGCAACCCCAGAGTCGGACACGACTGGACCTAATGGTCAGGGGTCCATTTACCTTTACCAATTGTAGTTGTGATTTAATTGATAGAAGATAGGGTGCAGCAAAAGGAAGGGGAGAACAACTCCATGGAAAACGGGCAAGAATTCGATAAAAATAAGAGAAAACAATGGGACACAGAGATGGGGAAATTTCTGGAGCAACAATGGGATATCAGCTTCACCCAAGTCTCATGCCCTACCAACTGAGCTACATGCAGTAATTTAAGCAAGTGATGTTCTTTCAGTGTTTCTAATTTGAATTCCGTGGACATCTTTGAATTCCCTTCACCCTTCAAAAGGTCTGCTGATATAGCCATTCTGCCCATGAACATCCAATCACGAGTGCCCACAAACATGGTGCAGGATGTGGACACTGAATATCAAAAACAGTATCTTGCAGAGATGCTTGCCTGAAGCCTGCCACCAGGGATGCAAAAGAATTTTGTTTGGCCTGCATTTTTAAGCAAGCTGACTTAATTCACACCTCCTAGAGGTGATATACAGAACTAGCCTGCAGGTTTTGCACTTCTCCGAATTTTGCAATGCAGCTCTAGGCTCAAGGAAATGTACCCAAATGTGTAAGGCATGTCATTTTGGGATAAAATGTTTTAGAAATGCATACATGAAGGGGGGGAGGAATCCACACTGAAATATTTAGTGATAAAATGCAAAATATTTATTTAAATTCATATTTAAATCTGAATTTTTCTATGGATCCCCCATGCAATAATGTTTTTAGTATACAAATATCAGTATAGTATAAAACAATACATAGCACATAACAAAGAAACAAAAGATAAGTGTCTATCATATTATAGTATTGTAATATTTTGTGATAATTTTAATTTTTTCCAATGTTTAGTCCTTGGGGCTTTTTTCCAGGGAAGTCTGTGTGTAGAGGGTTACAAACAGATTTTTAAGAATTATATATTTAAGTGTTCAACAATGTAAAAATGAGATGGTATCACCTTACGAAGAAACACATGCCAGGTAGACACATCCTTACGGGTAACTGCAACATGTCAGCTGCTCATGTTTTGTAGATCCTTATTTTCACCACTCCTCGTATTTCTAGCGCTTTTTGGCCAGAAATAATTAATTTCTATAATTATAGGGTTATTATTCCATAAGTGGCTCAGGGAGCACAATGTTCAACAATCTGATGTGTTTCCATTCACTCTGTCAGTGGGCTGCTGCAATGTGCTATTTAAAGCCTTTTCAGAGGGATTATTTTCCTTAATGACTTAACTGCTAGTGATTTAGTTTGATATGTCATTTTCTTACGCAGAACATAGACAGATGTGCTGAAAAGGAAATTCGCCCTATGTTCCCAGTTGGAGCTGGAGAGAATACAAAGCACAGAAAACTGCCCACTGCTGCCATGATTGATCTAAACAAGAATCAGAGTTCCTAACGAGGTACAATTATATAGAAATGAGAGGTGCAGATTCATTGAGGCATTTATGCAAGGAACTGTGTGAAACAGCATTTAGGCTTGCCTTTATCTTCCTCTGCCCTGTGATTGGTCCTTCTGTTCTCAGGAACTACCGATCAGCAAGGACCAGGGGTGCCAACCTGGTCACAAGATGTGGCACACACACACCATTTGAATGGCAATGCCCATCAACTTGGTGGGGAAGGGGTTGGCTCCCTCAAATATGTTATTAGGGGTAAGGCAAAGGGACTTTGGTCCCTAGGAGTTGGCTCCTATGGTGAGGACCATATGTTCCGGTAGTTTGGAGGTAGAGTTCAGATCCCTTCTTCCATGCCGCTAACTCAGGAGGTAATCCTAACCTCCAGTCCGCTATGGTCTGACGGAGCAGCACAGCCAGTGTCAAATTCACAGCCCAGGTTTCATAGAATTGTAGAGTTGGAAGGGATACTGAGGATCATGTAACCCAGAGATGGCCAAACTTGGCCCTTCATCTGTTTTGGGACTACAATTTCCATCATCCCTGACCACTGATCCTGTTAGCTAGGGATGATGTCGTAGCTAGTCGTAGTCCCAAAACAGCTGGCGGGCCAAGTTTGACCATCACTGATTCTAACCCCACCCCCTGAAATGCAGGAAAATGCAGCTGTCCCATATGGGTATTGAACTGCAACCTTGATGTTATCAGCACCATGCTCTACCCAGCGGAGCTGTCCAGCGGAGCAAAAAGGCCCAGTGGGGACTGCTGCTGTAACATAATGGCAGCAGGGTCCACACAGGATCCAGCAGATTCTGCACCACCTTCCCCCCTTTTTGAGGGACTGTGCTGGCTGCTGCCATCAGGGCTGCTGCCACAGATTGCTTCTACCTGGCCAATATTTGGGCATTTGGTGTCCTGTTAGCTAGGGGTGATGGGAGTTGTAGTCCCAAAACATCTGGAGGGTTGAGTTTACCTATGCCTGCTCAAGATGCTCAAGAGCAGATGTAGAGAAGTGGCTAAAGAATCTGAGGTTTTGGGGTAAATGTAATATTAATAATGTAATAATAATATTGTAGTGGTAGTAGGCATGTTCTATGACAACCCCAGTCTTAAATTATGTCCTTTTGCACAGCTTCCTGAGCAAGCCAGTGTTGAAATAGCCAACACAGAAGCCCCTTACTGCTGTCCCACCACCTGCTGAAACACAGGGAGCATTGGTGAGCGATAGGACCTTCTCAGTGGTGGCACCGCATCTTTGGAAAGGCCTTTCCTCCAAGATGTCTCTGATATTGACATTGTTTACCTTTTGATGATGGTTAAAGACACACCTCCTTTGCCCCGGTCTTTAATATGCTTCTTTAGCTATCACTTGCTGTTTATCTGTATCTTGTTCAGTTTTAGCTGTTGTTATATATTGCTTATGTAATATTGTTTGTGCACAAGGCATTCTTAATTTGCACCTTGCTACTGTTGGGTTGTTGTTTTATTTTGCATTTAGAACTTTGTTCTTCTGCATGTGTATCCTGCCTCGGGACCATTTGATGAAGGGAGGAATTATAAATCAAGTTTATAATAATATTGATGCTAATGCTACCACTCATCATCATCATCTTTCTCCAGCTGGTATATTTTATGAGGAACAAGACAATGTGTTGCAATTCCATTCAGTACTTATCTGGTGCAGTGAAGCTCCAGCTCATAATCAGGATTGATAGGCACCTACAAACAACACCCGGTGCCCATATAATTGTACCTGTTTCTCATTCTTAAATATTTTTTTCCCTTCCTAGCAAGCTGCAACCACTGCAGCCCTTTGGCTGACCTCACCAAACGCCCTTTGCTTTGGTCGTGGATAAACGTGCTGCTCATAACAGCTCTGAGTTTGCTGCACTTGAACCATCTCCTCTCACTCAGCATCTCTGGCTGTTTGCACTGCATGGCGGAGATGGGCAAGGGAGCTGAAGAAATGCGCACTGTAAACAGGGATGTAATGAAGTCTTCTGCTGTATTGACAGAGTGGCAAGCAACCCAGGATGTTTAAGATTCTGTGGATTCACCATATCTAGCTATATACACACACGAGGCACAGAGTACGATAGGCTAGGCCCTATTCAGAAGCAATCTCCAGGAAACAACTTTCTAGGAGAGCAGTCCAGCTGCCTTTCTAATTACAGTGGTACCTCTGGTTACGTACTTAATTCGTTCCAGAGGTCCATTCTTAACCTGAAACTGTTCTTAACCTGAAACACCACTTTAGCTAATGGGGCCTCCTGCTGCTGCCGCGCCGCCGGAGCACGATTTCTGTTCTTATCCTGAAGCAAAGTTCTTAACTGTAGAGTCTGTAACTTGAAGCGTATGTAACCCGAGGTACCACTGTATTGTGTATGCACACATAGGAGAGACTGTTTGGTGTTTTGTATTGTTTTGTATTGGTTTGGTGTTTTGTATTGCTTCATTTTATAGGAGGGCATTTGCCCAAGAAGTTTTGATGGCTTTTGGTAGACAGTTAATATTACTCATACCCTCCAACATTTCTCCAGGGGAATTAGGGACATTCTATCCATACCTTCCAACATTCCTCCGATGAAAATAGGGGTGCCCAGTCTAGAAGAAGAAAAGCCAGAATTCACCAGGAACACCTTCCTCATTCTCTTAAAATGCCAGTGGCACCCACCTGGGAAATGCCGGAACTGCGTTCGGGTGAGTGCCATGTGGAAAAAAAGTGAGGGTTGGGGCAGCCTATTCCATATCCTCCAACATTTCTTTGATGAAAACAGGGATGTCCTAAGAAAAAGTGGGACATTCCAGGATCAAATCAAAAACCAGGATGGCTTCTGTAGATCTGGGACTCTACCTGGAAAGTAGGGACACTTGGAGGGTCTGTTACTGCTTTTATGTATCACCTTATTTCCACTGAGCTCAGTGCAGTGTGCATGGTTCTTTTCACCACAGCCCTGTGAGGTGGATTAAGCAGAGAGCGTGCACCTGGTCCAAGGTCAACCAATGAGCTTCACTGCCAAGTTCTGGTCTGACAGGCCAACAGTTTGAACCCTGCCAATGTACTGCACTGCCGGAGTGTAGGGTGGAGGGTGATGTCATGCTTTGCCTACCTGCCAAGCTGATTCCCCCAGCTGAACGTATACATGTGGGTTGTAGTTTCCCACATGTGCTGTATACATGCAACACATGTACAGACCGGCAGATTAGCAATGGAGACCTTTAAAAAAACAAACAAAACCCTGGAGAATTAATAACTATTCTTGTAATTCAGAAGCAGGAAGCAATCAAATTGGTATCAGCTTGAAAAGGCAAACTCCTAGACATTTTTACAGCTTCACAATATTGATTCTCTGCTGTGTGTCCACTATGAAACAGGTGGCTCTTGCACCTGCTGAGAGGAGAGAGAGTGACTGAGTTCATGCACGCCTGCTCCCTCCTGATCAGGTAACCACCATTTTTCATGTTGACACAGTACAAAGCATTTATCTGTCAGGACTCGGGGGGGATTTCTTGTGCAAAGCTGGGTGTTCAAAGCCTGGACAATGATCTCTGGATGGGCTGTGTACCTCTTTCAGAAATCTTAATCAGCACCATTTGTGCACTAGATATTTGCAAAATGTGTTCCTTCCCTCTCCCCACATCCCGATAAATTATTGGCCTCACAGCACTTGAAACACTTCAGATACTCTGGGGCTGCGGTGCTCATCTCACTTTCTTGGCCGAGGGAGCCGGCGTACAGCTTCCGGGTCATGTGGCCAGCATGACTAAGCCGCTTCTGGTGAACTAGAGCAGCGCACAAAAACGCTGTTTACCTTCCCGCCGGAGCAGTACCTATTTATCTACTTGCACTTTCTGTGGTGCTTTTGAACTGCTAGGTTGGCAGGAGCAGGGACCGAGAAATGGGAGCTCACCCCGTCGCGGGGATTCAAACCGCCGACCTTCTGATCGGCAAGCCCTATGCTCTGTAGTTTAACCCACAGCACCACCCACGGCCCTCAAGCCAGGCTTACAACACTGGTAAATATTGCTCCTGCAGATCCTGCTGCCGCTCCTCCCATGAACCCACCATTCCTGCTCCAGTACATCACTGGGGCTATTGGTGTTTTTGATAATACCTTTAGCCATTTTTGCTTCAGACGTCGGTTGCACATCTACTTGTCTCAATTTCCCTGACTTTCCTTTAGTTCTAACGGTCTATGTGGAATATTAATGGGGAGGGGCTGTCGCTCAGTGGTACAGCATCTGCTTTGTGCACAAGGGGTCCCAGGTTTCACCCCCAGCATCTCTCCCAGAAGCTGGGAGAAATCCTTCTCTGAAATCCTTGCGAGCCATTGCTGGTGACTGTAGACAATACTGAGCCAGGTGGTCTGAGGCTTTTGAGGTATGAGTGTGTGTTTGTTTGTTTTTAACAATGGTGTATAAATTTTATAGGGACACAGGTGGCACTGTGGGTTAAAGCACAGAGCCTAGGACTTGCCGATCAGAAGGTCGGCGGTTTGAATCCCTGCGACGGGGTGAGCTCCCGTTGCTCGGTCCCTGCTCCTGCCAACCTAGCAGTTCGAAAGCGCGTCAACTGCAAGTAGATAAATAGGTACCACTCCGGCGGGAAGGTAAACGGCATTTCTGTGCGCTGCTCTGGTTCGTCAGAAGCAGCTTAGTCATGCTGGCCACATTACCCGGAAGCTGTACGCCGGCTCCCTCGGCCAATAAAGCGAGATGAGCGCTGCAACCCCAGAGTCGGTCACAACTGGACTTAATGGTCAGGGGTCCCTTTACCTTTACTTATAAATTTTATGAAATTGAATGAATGAATGAATGAATGAGCCAATGGTCTGACTCAGTTAATACAGGATTTTACAGCTCCTCTCATCTTTCCCTTTACATATTTCTTTCCTGGACTGAAAAGTTGAATCTCTTAGCTTTTTTTTTCTCATGTGAAGTATATGCTTTGCTCATTTGCCTCTAGGGTGATCCATGCACAAAAAGTGGTTTTAGCGCATGTCCTATCCTTTTGGATAATTCTTTGCATGCAGAATAAGGTGCCGGGGGGGGGCTTTATCCATCCCTCAGGTGAGGGTGGGGGAGCATGCACCGTTGCTGACAGTTCTCTGACAACACGGATCACCCACAGGAGAGGGGAGCTTTCTTTCCACCTCTGGCCTTGGACTACCCCCCTTCTGTCAAGGCTGTGCCAGGCAACCTTGCTGGACTTTCACCAGATAAAAACAAATATCCTAAGGGAATCTCCGCCTCCCGAAATACAAGAATCTGTTTGATTCGCAAGTTGTTTTTGAGATGCAAGAGCCATGACAGGATGTCTACAGCTCACATGCTAGGATTATGCAGAGCCCAGTTTTAAAAACAATAGAAAGACAGTAGCATTATTCTGTGAGTTTTTAGGAGGGAAGTGACTTCTGATGACAGCCCTTCAAAATATCATAGCTGAAACCCTCTCACAGCTTCCTCCTGTCAATGGAGCTGCTTAAGAGAGTTTGCTGGAATACAATGCTGCCTGCTGGCCATGCTGAATGGAGCTGATGGGAGCTGGGGTCCAACAGTGGGAGGTCCACAGGTTGCCCGCCCCTGTCCTATAGATTTAATACACACAGCCAGACCGCTGTACCACAAGCAAAGAACAGGCAGATACCCCCCCCCCAAACAGATAACTCGGGATGAGTAATTGAGCAAACAAACCAAGTCCCTTGCAACAGTAAAAGCAGATGAGACAGCAATAGAACCATAGACTCATAGACTTGTAGAGATGGAAGGGACCCTGAGGATCATCTAGTCCAACCCCCTGCAATGCAGGAATATGCAGCTGTCCCATATGGGGATGGAACCTGCAACCTGGCCATTATCAGCACCATGCCGTAACAAACTGAGCTGTGTTCCTGTGAAGAGCCTATTCTAGGGGATTCATTAATTTATAGTGCAATCCTATGCATGCCTATTCAGAAATACAGGTAAGTCCTATTCAGGAATGATTTCTACAATTATTGTTTCATTGAACATACCTTTATTATTGTTGTGTAGCAAAGGGTTCTCTTATTTGCTGTGTGTGTATGTATGCAGAATACCAGGTTGGTTGTGGCGGTGAATGAGAGGGCAATTCATTTTCTTTACTAGGGAAATGCTCAGTGAGGTTCATAACATAGTGTTGTTTCTGTTCATTCAGTAAAACTCACCCTGTTTGTAGAAGGACCTTGCTAGCTATAGAATTGTGCAGACCTGATTATCTGCAAAGTTCTGTCATAGACAACAGGTCTGTGTAGGAAATCTCCAGTACAGATCACACGAGAGGATTTTACAGTCTGCAGAATCAATAAAGACGTTTGGCACATAAAGTCTGCTACATTTCATTTTGCAACATACATTCTGAATGCTTGTAGAAATAGGGTTTAACAATGTAGTAAAGGTTTTAGCTCTTTCCTCTATGAACAGTTTTCTCATCAGGTTCCTAAAATGTAGAGGAAAGCAATTTGCAGAAAGATAGATAACTGCAACTCTATAACTTTCCACTCAACACCTGTTAAATGTAATGGATTCTAAATCAATTTATGTGGAAGGAAATAGCCCAAATGAAATGAAATAGCTGATGAAATAACATGGGTCTACTTATGGTATGAATAATGACATCCCAGTTCCCTTGACCCATATTTGTTTTTAATTTTTCCCCCACTGATTTTTTTAAAAAAGCACAAAATAAAAGTAGTTTAATTAGGGCTAAGCATATTAAGAACACTGAAGGTGAAGGGTACAGCAAGTTTCCACTTTGGAAAAGGTAGCTATTTTGTCATGTCTCACCCATATAGCTTTAGGTATAGATTTTAAGCAACCCAGTATTATGATTTTGGCTCTTTATTGTAAACTTTTCAGAGGGAGGAGAAAGACATAATTTCAACCATACTCCAAAACCAAATTTGATCCTTGGGTTTTTAACACACCATACTATATGAACCTCAAGAAGACTTTTAGGCACAGCTGCTTACCTGTCAGCAGAGAGAGCCATGAGGGTGAAGACGGACACCCCCACCGAAGTCAGCTGTATGAAAGGGATAAGTTTACATCCAACCCGACCAAACAGCCATTCAGCAGACAGGTACCTGCTGGCATCCACAGGAACACAGGTGAGCAAAAGAAGCAAATCTCCAAAAGCCAAGCTTGAGATGAACAAGTTGGGGACGTTCCTCATGGACTTCACGGTGCAGAAGATTTTGATCAGCGTAACATTGCCGACGAGTCCTATCAAGATGATGATCCCATAAATGGTCGGAATTGCATACAGGAACCGATAGTAAAACAAGTCCTCATCCAAGAGGGACAGATTTGCATGTTGAGCAGAAGAGGTGTTGCAAAGAATGAAGCCATCCAACTCCACATCTAGGATAACGCACTCCTCAGAAGACATGGTCAAGTTTTGGCGTACCAAAAAAATGCTTGCCTGATTATTATTTTTACCCCAAAAAGAAAAGAAAAAGAAAAAAGCTTCATAAATTCTTTCGAGCAGATTTCGTCCCTTAGTGGTGATTGGCAGAAATGTAATATGTGACGTGACTGATCATAGAAGGAAACACATGCACGAGAAGAAACCCAGCCCATTCAAAACAAGGAAGCATCAGCATAGCTTCTGTTTCAAAACTTTGCTCTCTCTCCTGTTCATGAGGCCTGGGAATAAGTACTTCCCCAGTTTGCAAAGACTGAGCAGTGGTCTACACAAAGCCATCCATAGTCCATTACCAACACTCCTAGTGAGGTTTCAGTGTCGAAACGAAGGGGTTGCATTTTGCAAGAACTTTTGGTAGTTGCTGCTCTTTCCAGCCCTTTCAGATCCTGCACTTGCAGGCTGCGTTTGCAGCAAAGGTGAGGAGCAACTCCTTTAAACACGCAAATCCTAGAGGCAGGATCTCTGGGACGTCAGCTCTCTCCCTGCTTCGCACCATAGCAAGCTTCCTTCTGTGAGTACAGTAGATATATAGGAAAGTGCAGTCTTTTTCTGGGGGATGTCAGCCACCTACTGGACAATTTCATCACTGCCCAATGAAATGTGTTTTGAAATATACTCTTGAATCCCTCTAATGTATTTTTGTTGGGAATGTTCTTATGTAGGAGGCACAAGTTTAAAGTCTCACACTTTACTACATTTCTTACTACATTTGTTCCTTACTGCATTTAGTTTAGAGGGAGAGAGAGAAAAGGCATCTGATGTCTTACCCTACAATTCAAGAGAGCTAGAATTCTGCACAAACAGTCTCAAGATACTTGAACAATTTGCTCTGTTTCATCCAAGATTCTGTTAGAATCAATTATACAAATTGTATCTATTTGCCTATATGCTGTAACCTTGTTCACACGTACCTAGGAGTCATCATTACTGAACACAATGGGATGTTCTTTCCAGTAAACATATATGGGTTTGAGTTGTGTATCTATTTAATTTGAACAGTACTGGATTCTTGTAGATTCCCAGTTGCGTGGTAGGGGTGAGGGAGATTTTCTGCAGAAATGCTAAGGATGTGTTCAATATATGGGTGTATCTGAAATTCTCCTTATCTGAATTTCTTCCTGTGTTTCAGAGGTCTGAAATACCAGCACTTATTTCTATACAGAACAGACACGTTAGGTATTCTCCAATGTTCTGGGATGCACAATCTGCTGATGTGTTCCATAGGATCACAGGCAGCTACCTTATGTTATGTTATGTTATGTTATGTTATGTTATGTTATGTTATGTTATGTTATGTTATGTTAGATCCTTGGGTCCACCTAGCTTAAGAGCTCTCCAAGGTTTCACACAGGAAGTCTATCCCAGCCATACCTAGACATTCCAGAGATTACAGCACGGACCTTCGGCACACAAAACAGATGGATGCTATGCTATGGTCCTTCCATTCACTGATACCTTGCAGCTACTCTCACAACTAATGTTAATGTGTGTATTAATAAATTACATTGGTACTCTGCCCTTCCTCCCAAAATGGAGCTCAGGGTGACAGACACCATACAATAATACAATACATCAGGGCTACCCAATGTGATGTTTTTGGACTACTTATCCCTGACTATTGACCAGGCTTTCTCGGACTGTTGGAAGTTGAAGACTAGCAAGATCTGGAGGGTACCACATTGGATACGCCTTCAATAAATCATACAACATTTGAAGACCTCATTAAAAGCACAGTAAAGTCTCATACCAAACTAAACTTGAAGGCCCTCAACAAATAAATATTTTAATGTTCTGCCTGAACATAGCCAAGGTAGAGGACTGCCTGATTTCACCTGTGAGAGAGTTCCATAAATACCCCCCTAACCAATAACCCCAATGTCTCATATTACCACCCTCTTTCCCACTCCAACTGACAAAACTGTGAGCAGCCTGTCTCTCTGCAATTGGAGAATCTGGGTTGGAAGGTTCTGTGAAAGGCACTTCTTCAGGTACTTGGTTCTAAGTAATTCAGGGCTTTGTTCCCTAGTACCAGCCCCTTGGATTGGGCCCACTAGTTCACAGGCATCCAGTGCAGTATTTTGAGGATCAAAAGTGACGCAGTCTCCTCTTGCTGCTCGGTGCAACAGCTGAGCAGTGGCATTCTGCACCAGCTGCCACTACTGGACCATTTTCAAGGGTAGCCCCATGTAGAGAGCATTACAATACTACCCGTGGGTAACAGAATGTTCTTTGCACAGGATGGTTTTATTCCCGCACAAGAGGATATCTGTGCCTTGGTAAGAGACTTCACCCAAAGAACCTTGATGTAATCATATGTGAAATCTAGGACTGTGAAAATTCATTTCCAAGCATTGAGAGAAAAAAGGAGCGTTTCCAGAGTTTCCTTCAAATTCAAAATTATACGGCCAAGAAATGTTAATTGGTTGTTGGGTTTTTATTGTGGTCATACTTTAGGTTGATAGATCACTAGTTTGCAAGTGAGAATACACAGCCTCCGAGTCCAGGGTTACTGTCTCTCTGGTGAGAGTTTATATGTGGGCATTGGTGTGCTGTGACTGGACGTGGAGTTACTCCAAATCCTATTCTATCTCATTGTGAGGTGAGTGGAAGTAGGGGGTCCTAGGAAGGCAGTAATCGTCCCCTCTCCTTTTAATCCTATGGCAGGTATTTCCCTCACACCAGTTCTGTGGTTGAAGTTGAGCTGTTGTTGTGAGACTGGGCTGGGGGAGTAAAGGGGTGTAGGACAGAGCTTGCCAAACTGTGTGTCCCGACATGTTAGTGTGTTGGCTGCAGTGTGTAGGTGTGTCATGTGAAAGCACTCCACACTCCTCCTGGGGCTGGAAAGGGGTTAGTTTAACCTCCAGTTTGCTAGTAAAACAGAATTACTGTGTCACAAAATGGTGCAAAACTGAATTACTGTGTCGTGAAACGATGCATGTCTAAAAAGTGTGTCACCAACATGAAAAGCTCTGGGGTAGGATTGGGCATAAGTCCAGTATGACCCTTTGCCACTCATGCCCCACCCCTACCTCAGTTGTGGCTTGGAACCTTATACCAATAGAACCAATATGCTGACATGGGGTTGCACTGGGTCTTCACAGTTCACCAACATAACTCAAGTTTTCTCACGCTAATTCAGTTTCGCTAGGATAGCCATCACATCCTATCACTCCTCAGCGAATGTATCTCAAGTGCAGGATTGAGCCCGTAATTCATGTAATGCAACTAAATTATTTAGGCATAACAGAAAACAGGAACTGCAGAATCATTAGAGTAAAAAAAACCAAACCCATGAAAATGTCATTGGAGAAACATTAAGCTGTGATTAATAGATAGCTATATTAATCTTGTCATGTAGACTTAATCAAAAGCCAATGGCAGAAAAGTGATTTGCAGCACAATCCAATGCATGTCTACTCAGAAGCACGTCAAAATGGGACTGGGACTTGATCTTGGTTAGGTGTGCATGGGATTGCAGCCTTAGTAGTTTAATCAGCCGAGCTTCCAAATGACAGTTTGGAACAAAAATAGCTTCATCAGCAGAACTGCGCTGAAGACTGGCTGCCAGACGTAGCCTAGATGCAAAGGGACTATATGCGCTCAAACTATTTAAAAGTCTGCTCACATCCATCATTACCCTCCTGCTATCATAACCTCAAACTCTATTCATGCAGAGATGGTGATTATTTCTTAATGAAAGTTGCCTGTTCAATAGCAAGCTTGATGTGTAACATAGCATGCCCTATTTCTGTTCTTAATTACAATTTACAGAAGCATCAGTAGGATCCTCAAGAGGATTAAAGATCCGGAGGTGAATGGAAGCCGAACATTGTAATTGGTTTCCTGTGTTTAAAAGGGAAAAAATAATAATGAAGGATTAAGGATTCAATTAAGTATATAAACCACTGGGATAAAAATAAAATCTGTAACTGCCAGCCAGACCGTTACTGATATCCAACAAATGAAAATAAAAATAAGAAATAATGTATTACAAAACCATGGCTTTAGGAGGGACATTAGATGATCCGAGAGGGAAGACTTTACCCAAGTTGTTATCCAATGCTTACATTCATTTAGGCTGCAAAACTGCATGCACTTACTTAGTAGTAAGCCACACTGAAGTCAGTGGGGCTTACGTCTGAGTAGGCATGTAAAAGATTGCGCTGCTACTGGCTCATGCTGAAAGATGAGTGTTTTAACAGAAGCATGATACTAGTAACTCAAAATGTAAACAAATATAGAGTTTTAGGTAGTTCTACTTTTATGATCAGAATTAGCCTTACTTGGAAGCAACTTATATTGCTTATTTCATTTTAAGGCATCTGAAAACCATTTAGTATTTCAAAAAATGCAGAGTGTACAGTCTAACACATGGGTAGGCAAACCAGCCCGTGGATGGTCCAGGAATCAGCGTGTTTTTACATGAGTAGAATGTGTGCTTTTATTTAAAATGCATCTCTGGGTTATTTGTGGGGCATAGGAATTCTTTCATATATTTTTTCCAAAATATAGTCTGACCTCCCACAAGGTCTGAGGGACAGTGGACCACCCCCCCCCCAACAGCCTTTTAGGACTTGACAAATAGTGCTAATTTCCTGGCAATATGTTGCCATGGGCACGAAATAGTTAGCTAATTGCTTCTTAATGCTGAGGAATGTTCTGGGCAGCCTCATCCTGCATCAAATCTCTTTCCGCAGATTAATGAGGAAACAATATTGAATGGATTTAGGAATGAACACATGTGGAAGTGATATGGACCAGGAATAGACTGATCTGTCCATCCTCTAGTTGCACATGCTATTTATTTATAATAAGCATTTTTCTGCTACACTTCAATCATATCTCCTGGGCAGTTTTTAAAGCATTTAAAGTAGTTCTGATGATGTTGGGGAGAAGGGATGTTGTTATTAGTTTGAAGATAGCAGCGCAGTTCTAACCATGTCTACTCAAAAGTAAGTCATATTAAATTCAATGGAGTTTAGGACTGCAGCATAAGATGTTTATATCCATCTATGCGATCGGCAATATTCTATTAGAACTTTCCTGGCATGAAGCTCTCTCAGTGCATTTTATCTGTAGCTAATGTTTTTATTGACATATTGGTGTTAATTGTGTTTGAACTGATCTAATACCTCTTGCTAAAAGTTTCCATTCATGACTGCATGTGGAATGTAATTTCTGAGTGGGTTTAGAGTATATTTGCTCTGGACAATCATTTGGATTACAGGCCCTGTTCGATCCTGTGAGTTTAAATATCTATTAATTGCCTACAGTTTGCAATTTTCTAATCTGCTGTGTGTTTGATGTGTGCAATGTTTAAACTGATATCTGAGCTATACAAACTTTAAAAATAGCCTTCATGATGCACCTAGTCTGATATGTCAACATTAAAAAAGCATGGATCAGAAAGTGTGAAAAATGAGGATGTTTAAACTCCTAGCACAACAGTAATGGTTAAAAAAAAAAGTCTGCCACTGAAACAATAGGAGAAAAGGCAAGCAATGGTTATGATAGCCGCCAATCCATAGCCGCCATCCATCCTCCAACCGCCTCCAGGCATTCACACAGG